TTATCAGAAGAAATGAACTTCTTCCCACCTCGCTCGGGCAGAATGACGCCGTCAGGATTAAGAGGAAGGAGTTGACACTGACCAGACAGAATCCTGTGTTTGAATGGAATTTATGCATCATGTATGAGATGTATGAATATGCAACAGCTTATTGCTTGTAAGGGTTAATCCTCTGTTAATGTGTGTCCTTTTTCGGGCTTATGCTGCCCAGAAAGAGGTACTCAGATGTCCGTAACTCTTTGTTTCTATTGTCTCATATTGTCCTATTTCAGATTGTACAAAATTTTTATTACTCTAATTATATTGTTATTTTTGTAACCATTTTATTACTATTAAACTTTTAAAATTTTAAAAAGAAGTGATTGGCGTTTTTCACAGGGGGAAAGCCGTGCACGTCGGTGCAGATCCATGCCCAGGAAAGTGAGCTCAGTTGGGCCACAGGGGATGATCCCGCCCGCTCCCTGCAGCCCTGTCCGCCTGCCCGGGACACAGCAGACCCACAGAAAGCACGGCAGGAAAGAAGGCACGGATAAAAGGATATGTTGGGATGACTACACCATGCTAGGGAAAGCCAAAACCACTAGTGCCAAAAATGATCCCAGTCTGTCACCAGCAGCGAGCTGGTGCTGCAGGAGGGGAGTCCTGCTCTTCACGAAACTGCCCTTGGCAGGCACAAAGCAGAAAAGCTGCACTCAAAATATGAAGGATCTTGTAGCCTGAAGGTAAAGGAGGATAAAGAGTAGGGATCTTAGCCACCAGTTCTACTACTAAAGACATGTCAGTCTACACATTTGGAGGAAAATTGTCTCCTAAAGACTAAAAGCTTAGTGTCAAAGGAATAATGCAAGCATTCTGCTTTGTGTAATCGCTTCTAGTTGCATAGTGGTTAGTACAGTGTAGCCACAGCCTGCTTCAATTTTTTAAAAAGAAAAGAAATAAAGAGTTCTGGCAAGCTGCTTAATCACTGCTGGGCTGGGAGAATGACCTGATTTTCCTTTAATCCATTCATTTTCAATTCAAAGCATCTCAGGTGTTGTGCTTGGGAGCCTTGCCTGGGTGGATAGTCTAAACTGGAGATCTGGGCAATTGGGATTTTCCTCACAAATTCAACACTGCTGCTTAAAGCTTGTGACCTTTTGCTTGTTTGGTTGACTTGGGGGGTTCTGTTTGGTTTTTGTTTTGTTGTTTTGCTTTTGGGTTTTTTTTTATTTTTATGTAATGGTTGAATTCACCTTGCTTGCACGGGTGGAAGTGTACAAATCTGGGCAGTAAGTCCAGTCTGACCCTGCTCAGCTGCTCATGGTCATGAAAATGTTTAGCCCTTATTTCTGAACCTTTTTTTTTCTTTTCTATAGGGTTTAAAAGCATTCACAGGAGCAAGCAGTACATGAAATAATTCATTTTGACACATTGACACTGTTCCTGTGTCCACTCCTGAATCTGCACACGTTGAGAAGCAAGGATTTTGTGCTAATTTCATGAGGACATTTGCTGTCATCTTATATTTACTGCTCAGATAAGCATTGGCACAGAAGGGTCATATTCATCTTGGCACCCAGCTGATGACATCTGCCTTCTGAAACAAATAAATGTATTTCTCTCTTGGTTCAGTTGTGCCAACACTGCAGGGTAGGGACAGTTTGGAAGGCATTTTCTCCAGTCTTATCACTCAGTTCCATAACTGCTTTAATGTCCCTTCTGTGCTGTGAGGACCAGCAGTTTCTTGAAAAACATATGGATTTTGTGGCTGGGGAGAAGAACAGTTGGAGGTGTGATGCTAACCCAGAGCAGGCAGCTACAATTTTCTCCTGGGGACAGGAATGAGAGCTTTGCTTTGTCATTGTCTCTTATCAGTCGTGATTTTTTCTTTTCCTATCTACATAAGGTTTTTCACCACACAAATTATGGAGGCATGGGAGGTGTGAATGGCCACTGTACAGCATCCTGGCCCCCCTAGAAGAAATTAATTTTGACACTGGACAGTTTTTGAGTACAAGTGCTTCTTGAACAAAATTATATTGTCTTGAGCAGTCTGCTGTTGCACAGTGAGATGCAGAGTAATCTGCAGACAGGTTACTTCTGAAAGCAGCAGCCACTTGGGCTTTTGGCTCAGGGAAGGGCTGTAACTGGGGCAGATTTCCTTAGGCTACACAAGGCTCTGCAGACTTGTCAAGCTGCAGAACTGAGCTCAGCTCCCCTTGGGTTGTTCTCTCCCTGGGGCAGGTTTGTTACACCTACTTCCCTCACTCACAGAGACCTGGAGGACTGGGAGTCCAGTGTCCCTCACGCAGCTGGACTGCAATGTCCTGGCTGGAGCCATACATGACTCCCTGCACTGTGCCACCACTGGAAAAGCCAGGTACTACTGGTTTCTCCTATGGGGAGAAGCAAACCAGCCCAGACTGCTGCTCTCCTCTTCATGGGACCCCTGTAAACCCCTCCTGGCCCCTTTAGCCCTGGAGGGATGGGGCTGTGTGTGGTGGATATTGGTCAGGTGCTCCCAGGCTGTTAGTACAGGTTAAGGAAGTTGGCAGCCCATGTATGGCCTGAGATATATTTATTCTGAGAGGTGTGAGGTGCTCCCCTGCTTGGATGCCAATTGTCATTAAACAAAGACAATTGGTTTCGTGTGTACTTGCCTTTTGTGATTGATTGGTTTTGGTGTTTGAGATGCTGTGAGCTCTGACTGAAGATAAACTACTTCCTCCTGTGCATATTCTCTCACAGTTAATAAAGTAAGGCTGTAGCCCCTCCTTCAGCTTTGCACCAAAAGTACCTGGCACCAGTGTGGAGGAGGCTTGTTGAACTCGCCCAGGTCACTGAAGACACACCCTGATGGTTTAAACCTCACTTCCATAGGAAAGCTAGCCAAAACCAACAACTCTAAGGCAGGCTTTATTTCATTACAGACTAACTATTTTCACACAGTTTACACCACCCCACCTCAGGTCTTGCCCCATCTCAGGTTGGCTCTGTGGCTGTCAAAAATCCCATGAGAGAGACATGAAATATGAAATCTGTACTTGCAGAACAGCATGAAACACACATGAGTGTTACCAGGTGCAGAGTAGCGAAGTGCTGCTAAGCACTTTAGTATCAAAATCAATTTTTTTTACTAATTTCCCTGAGGATGCTGCAGCTTCTTCAGGGTGTGGATGCAACAGAATCCAGCCTCTGTGCTGCAGCTAAAAGCCCAGTGTCTGCCAGCTGGATTTGCCAGCTCTTGAGGAATGCCAGTTCTGGCTCAGAGCATGCTCTGGTTAGCCAAAAGGCCTGCTGGTGATACTGAAGGAAAGCAGATACCATGAAAGACCAAGAGCAGGACAATGACAAATGACACTTCCCCTACTACTCACCCACCTTTTGACTACTTTCATCTCTCTGGACTTTCTTCAGTCCTTACTGCTGTGCCATGAGGTTCTGCCTGAGAGGATCAGAGAGCAGAGGGTACCAGGGCCAGCTGGCAGGGGGACTGCCCAAGGTTGGTTATTGAGCAGATCCACAGCCGGTGGGTGCTTCTGTTATAGATGGATGAGATGATTGGCTCTCACAATTAAAAATTAAATATTGTGTGAATATTAAGAAAAGCTTTAGTGATGTATAGTTACGTTATTGTGGTTTAGATGTCCTCTGTTCTCCCCATAGTTCCCTTTTCCCCCTGTATTGTTGCCATCAGACAAGTGGGGCTGTCTAGGACAGGTAAAAAAAAGGCTGCACATGTATCCCTTACCTGGGGCAGTTGGGAATGGACAAGCTTGGTGCTTAGGGGGTGTGGCATGGCAACACCTGACCTCCAATCAAGTTACAAGAAAGCAGTTTCTACTGATAAATGGCATTAGTCCTGTTTCCATTTGCAGAAGTGCTGTTTTCTGGTTTTCTATGTGTTTGTCTGTGTGCCTGGCCATGTGCACACACACAGGTGTGTTTGTGTGCTTACTGGGAGTACACACACAGCCTTCATGCTGCCTGGACCTGGTGAGACAAAGATGCAGGCAGCTTCACTTCTGTTGGGCTACCAGGTTTATCAACTCCAACCAACACTTCTACTGCAGGCAAGAGGTCATTTCTGCTAAAGAACACGATTAAAATGCAGCCTTTGTGTGGCAAATAATTTTTTCACTAGCTGTACAGACCATGTTCCTGAATATTTTCTGGAGCAGCCGGATCTCTGCTGCCGTGATGTTTTAATTATGATTAAAGTAGAGGCCATCCCTTCTAGGCAGGCTGTTTGAATCCACCCTGGATTACACCTCTGTTGGCCAAAGGATATCAGTGCTACAGTAATTAGTTTATCAGTCAGCCTCTGCAGCAGCAATTAAGGAAGGAGAAAGAGAAAGTGGATCTATAACACAACAGGCTAAGAGCTGACAATTCAATACTTAGTATTATACTCATGGGTATGACTGACTGTGTGAAGTTTGTGTGGCAAAAATAAGAATTTCTAAAATGTTCTTCCTTGAGCAGCAGCAACAAGCTAGTTTGTGGGGTTTTAGTCATATATAAAGCAGGATGAGTCTATCTGCACACTGTAAAGTGATCTCTCACACACGATTTTCGAGAATAATCAACAGTTATAATAAATCTTTGGGGGAAAAAATAAGCACGGGCTGTCTTTAATCTTTTACATGCCTGGCAGCTGCTGTCAGGATATTTTTGTTGGTGAAACACAACACCACTTCCCTTGAGATGAAACACTTGTGACAAGAGTTAACAAGGCACTTCTGTGAACACATGACAAAGAAGTTTGCATGAATAATTTAACAGGGTAGCTGAGTTCAAAAATAGCTGCAAGATTCCAAATTAAGTATAGAGACAGGAGCTTTAAAAAGCCTTTTTCCCTATTTTAAGCAGCTTTTCCAAGGGATACAGAAAGGCCCTATGAATCAAGAAGCTTCAGAATCCAGCACCCTCTCTTGCCACTATTAATACCTCGTAGTAGACTGCACTTTTTAAATCCTCTTTAGAGAATAATTTTTAAACCAACAACACTCAGGAATGAGTATAATTTCATAAAAGTTTAATGTTTGTTTTAAAAATAACACTATTTAATCGAGAGAAAGGAATCCACACATACAGAGTCTTCTTGGATGCTGGCAAAAGAACTTAAATTAGAGATATACCCATGACCAGCTGGTTTAACCAGTAAGAATATAGAGAAAGTTTCACTGATTAGTCACATTAATATTAAGAAAAAGCATGTGCCCTCCAGAGAGAGGAGCAAAAGATACCATTCCAGTCATGCAAATCTGCACTCACCTTCTCAGAACAGGTTTCCAGAAGTCTGGTAATTCAAGATGACATTTTCTTAGCTCCTGTGGAAAGTAATCCAAGATACAAAGAGGGAAAGACTTGTTACAGCAAAAGATGTTCATCCTAAAATCCCACTTGCTGAAGCATCTGATCGGTTTGACTGTTACAATCCCAAATCTTAGGCCCTTTTAATTGTTTCCCTCCCCTCTGCAGCAAAACCCTTCAATAGCTAAACAGCTGGTCTGGTAGGAATGTGTCAAGCTGCTAGACTGGAATGTTAATGGACAATGACTCAGACAGTCAGCCACTTGGCTGCTTTTGCTGTGATGTGCATCATCACAGCTCAGGTGCAGAGGGGGCACAGCTGGGGTTTGAGCCAGATGAGGGACAAGGGTGATAAAAAGACACTTTGGAAGTGGGGTAGCTGGGGAGGCATTGGGACATTCACACATAGGCCTCATGCTCATCCCTCAAGACAGGGCATAAAATAGGCTGTCATGAGAGGCAGCTGTCATGTCTTAGAAGGTGTCATAAACCACAGAGACCCCCAAAGTGCCCTCAAACTAATTTCTGAGGCTTTCACCTATCCTTTCTCTCTTTTTTCTTTTCTTTATACATTTTCTTGAATGTTATTTTTATGTCTGTATTGTTATGTTTCTACAGATAATAATCAAACCTACATACCACCTATCCTTGACAACCAAATTGTTCTGAAATAAACCTGGCAGATATATACATATACACACTGGTAATTTAGTGTCATTTCACTCTAATCCACCCCAAGGGATGTATTATTAACAAGAACCTCAGTTACCCCACTTTCAGGGATAGGTCATAACACAAGCATAATACAAATGAAAACAGCTGTCAATGAACACTGTGAAGGTAGACAGTTCACTAGGAGAAGGGATTTGTAGGAAGTAGGATAACTAAAAGCCATGTATTTGATGCTTTAGTCTAGGATGCTAAACATATAAAGCGTAAGGTTTCATCTTACAAACCTGAAATAAACCTTCAACCTGTAAGCCTTTCTTGTATTCTGAAGCACAAATTCGACTCTTGGAGAAGTAATTACACTTACTATCTTGGATGAGCTCTCTTCTGTAGACATTGTAGCAGCTTGAGGCAGGTCGTCCATGCCTGTATCTTGTATCAAATGCCAGATAGATCAAATGTGAATGATGAAGGACTATAGCAATGCAAATATGGGATTTTTTTTCACCCAGCCAAACTGAATCCATTGCATGACTTCATTCCACTGAATACATACAACAGAAGTGTGAATTACTTTTGTAACCCTAGCTTGGATATGACAGGGACACACTGATTTTGAACCATTCCCTCACCTTGGTGAAGCAATATAATGTGTGAAACTAACTAGCAGAGAACATGAAATTTAAACAGTACCTGGAAAGCAACGCATTAAATGGGTTTAATTGCATTAAGCCTTCAGTTCTTAAGAGAAAATGCAGTGACAGATATTCCTTTGCTAATGGACTTTTTTTTTCTCCACTAATCAAGCATGTCTAAATACCCATCTTGCAGGTGCCTAGCTACAAGACTCCTCTCATCTAATTATTGGCACTTACATTTAATTCCTGTTTTTTTCATCTCTGACAGGATATGAATACAGCTTAATGTGAGATCTGATATGAAGACCATCCCTATAATTTCTCTACCAGATAGCTATTACAGGGCTTTTCATCCACCACAGCTACCATGGCTCCTAAAGCATTATTTTGTTTCTACATTTATCTAAAGTATGTAAGGAAATTAAACAGGGTGGTAACACAAATGGCTTGTAGTATTTCAGTGTTACTTAGGTTCTGGCTGAAACTCCCCCACAAAAGCAGCTTCTTGAAGAAAAACTGTATTTGATTAAGAATTGAAAACATTATCTTGTGTGCTCTACTGTCTGTAAAATGAAGATTCTTCAGTCAGGCTGCTGGAAAAGGGAATACTGTTTGCCTTGAAGCAGCTCTGATGCAGCTTTTATTTCCTGCAGGTGTTCAACTATTACCACCACCTGCCCAACCAATTCTAATGGCTCTGCTGTCTGCATCCACCATTGATGGACAGCTTCACAGGAATTGTAGCAGCAGCTTGACTCATTTTACCAGAGCCTAGAATGCTAACATCCAGTAATCAGCCTTCTCATCACAAGCAAGATGACAGCCCAAGAAGAGGTGGAGGTGGGATCAGAAAACAAAACCCAGAAACTAATTCTAACTGTGGAGCCTTGGATTTCTGCTCTAAGACAGTCTGCAGCTGGGCTATTCTGCTCAAGTTGGTTACAAACATGAATACATCCATATTGTCTGAAATTAGCTGACAGAAAGGATCGTCTAGCAACCAGAACTTGCATCTCTCTCTTCTTCATGCCAGACAGAAGAGAGGAGTCAAGTGAAATAAATTTTATGGCTGCTTTGTACTCCCACACTGCTGGCACGTAGGCTGTTTGCACATAACCCAGCAGGCACAAAAGGACTGAGGTCTGTCTCAGAAAATAATTTTGCTCCCTTTAACCTTTTGTAATGTTCTGAGAGAACATAATAATAACAATAATAATAATAATAGTAATAATAATAATAATAATAAACTAGCACAGAATTACATCAGGCACCACATGAAAACCTGTCTCAAGTGACTCCTCTTGCTCTCTACACTAAAGAAATATAGTTCTGTCATGCTTTGGGATGCACTGGTTTGGTGGATGGTTGTGGTTTTTTGCTGCTACCATCACTTACTTTCACAGGTATTTCTAAAAACTGTTTGGGGTTTACCAGGGTAAAAAAATAATTGACCTTTGCCCACATTCCCTACTGTTTCCATGAGAAAGTTTAAGTTCTTTGTGAAGCTTCTCTTAGATAAGAATTAGGCATTTATTTCCACCCTTGGCAAAAATTAAGGAATCATAAAACCACAAAGATTGGAAAAGACTTCTAAGATGTTTGAATCCAACCATTAACCCAGCACCATTGTGTTCACCACTGACCCATGTGCCACATCCAAATGTCTTTTGAATACTTCCAGGGATGATGATTCCAGAAACAGCATGATAATTCTGTCAAACAGCAGAGACCTCATATCTTAATCTACTAATATAAAAGTATAATCTCTTATACTTTTTACCACTAGAGCACAAATACATTTGGAAAAAATTTAGTAACAAAATGATTGTTGCTACATTTCTTCCCTGCTCACACGCTATTTAAAATTCTAAACCAAACAAAAAATCCCCCCTAAAGCCTATCTACTGCTTAGTTAAAACTTAGTCAAAGACAAGATTCCAGCAAGCTAGAAGCAAGGTTTACCTACCCAACTGACTACCCCAGGAAAAATTACTGTATTTTGCCTAAAACATTTGAAGATTTCTTCTCCTTTCCAAACGTACATTCAAAGAGACTGGAAGATGAATTAAAAACCCACCTGGCCTTAAAACAGATTGATAGGATGACTGCAGCTTTTCTATCTCTCTTCTCCCACTGCTTCTTAATCAAGCTTGGTTTTCCAACAAACTTCATCCAGGAGAAAGGATGTGCCAGCCTCCATCATGACAAACTAAAGGTTACAACATCAAATCACTTAAGAGTTAATCCACTCTTCTTTAAATTTACTAGGTATTTGTGCCTGGTTTGAAGTAAAGATAGAAACATTCAAACTATATTTGTTTCCTTCCTATCAGAAGCTTTCTGAAAACCAGGAAAAAGGTAACTTCTTGTGCTTTGTGCAGTTTTTAGAGAAGTATGTCAGGAAGGAGAGATAATGTATTGCACCATTCAAACAGACAAGTAAATCCCCATTAACTCACCCCTCCTCCTGAGGATCTGGAAGAGTCCAAGGCCAGCCTAGAAATAAGGCTTCCCAGTCAGTGCACTATGCTACAGCTCTGTCAGCACAGGGAACGAGCACAGTGGATAAATCATTTACTGCAAGCCTCTGGAAACCACAGGGAAAAAAACAGGAAAAAAAGAAAGAAAAAAAAGAAAAAATACATAAATAAAAATACATGCCATTTCATGAAATTACAGCGTTAATGCCTCTTGTATGCCAATCTGCCTAGATGTCATCACCTACACCACCTATTATGTTCTTGGCCATTCCAGAGGCTCAAGGATTACCGTTTACTTCTTCCCCAAAAGAGACCAAGTTAATCTTCCTTCCAGAAATAAAGAGCCCTACCTCCTCTCAGAGATAGACTAAAGGGCATGAAGAAAAGTAGTATTTAATTTGGACCACAGGAAAATTCATATTCTGGAAAGCTTTAGACATATATGGGGTAACAACTTCCAGTTTCTCCTTTGCAAAATTCTTGCTTGCCCTTGGCACTAGCTCCTCTCCATTCATGGCCAGCCACGTTCAGCACTGACCACAACCACGACTTGTAGAAGCAACTGTAGAGCACAGAACAAGGATAACAGAATTATATTGTCCTTTCCTCAAAAATAAAAGGTAATTTTAAAAATTAAGGTATACACAGATAACACAGCATTAAATAAGGTTGTCTGAAGACTGTCCAGATTGCTGTTTGCCAGTGTATGCACTGAAACCTTCATGAAAACCTTCCTTCTGCAGAAGGAAACTAACCAGAAAGCATGTGTGTATTACAAAACAACACTATCTAAAGTGCAGAACTCTAGAAAAATTCAGCCTTCCCTTTAATATTTCCCTTCCCTGCACTTATATCTCTCAATACGAGGCAGGTAAGAAAATCAATTCCCCTCTTCCTCTGTGGATTTACAAGAGACCAAGCACTTTACTGAAAAAATTGGAAAGAAAACAAGGGGGAAAATTTATCTGTCAAATGTAAACAAACAAACTCAAGTGTATGATAAAAAATACAGGATAAAACCAAGAAGCAACTACAAAGGACTTTTTTATAAATCAGGATTTAAGCAATCTCTACTCATTGCCCAACTCCATTTTAAACTATCAAAGCATTTCAAACCTTGCTTGCTTTGGTTTTGACAGTCAATCAGTTATCTGATGAAAGTAGGGCAACAATACTAACAAAGATTTCCTATATTCAATGCAGTAACTGCTTAACATCATAAAACCAGCTCAGAGATTTTCTCAAAACTCTCTTCCTTTCTTAATTACTTTTTTACTGTTGACTTGACCATTTATACCAGATTTCCAAATTCAGCTTAGACAGTTCTTACATTTCTTGTATGAAAACACTGCAAGACTCAGAAACATTTCATACCTTCCACACATACAAGTCATGGAAAACGAAGACAAATGGTGATTTTGCCTTCTCCAAAGGTCCATGTGCAGGCAGTGATTACAGAAATTCAAGCTCTGCTGGGGTCCCTCCCTGATGCCCCACCTCTGGTTTTACACAGGGTTCAGGACTCCAAGCAGACTTCCACTGACGATGTTGACAGTAGTTCTACCATTGACTTCAGCTGGAAATAAACTGGTTTTTACTGAGCAGGCTAACTGTTGAGTATCTTCATCCTCTACAGTTTCTCAATTTTATCAACTACTACAGGAGTCAGAAACTAATTGAAAAAAAAACCACTTTTACTGAGTTAAGGAAAAAAAAGAAAACCAAGAAGAAAGCCTTGTTGACCTCCATATGTTTATTTTTTTAAACAATTTACAAATAAAAATGTTATATTTATCCAAGGAAACACATTGAATACTTTAGTCTTTTACAAGCTATACAAATGAGAATCATCACACTCAATAGCTCAAGGACCATTCAGGGTAGGCATGCATGTGTCTGTATCACATGAAGCGAGTCCAATTCCTGACACCAGGGTTCTGATCTTCTACTTCTTCAGAGCTGGTCAGCTGCTAAATGATTTAACACAAATAGTTACTGGATCACAATAAAATGAAAGAAAGCCCATTTCAAATCACGTAAGTGACCTCAATATGTCTGGTCCAGGTGTCAGGCCACAGAGCCTTACCGATTAGTTTTCTTCTCCAAAAGCCAGTCGGGACAGATTTTCTCCCCTTGCTTAGTGATGTGCCATCCATACATGTGCTTATACAATACACTGAAACACCTTAAGTACAGATGTAATACAACAGGAATTACAAAGCACAGAGACAGATAAACAGACAAAATCGACTCTGAACACATTCTTGCATTTCAAAACAACAGAAGTAATCGAACCCATGCATTACAGTTCAAAGAAATTTTGGGTTTTAGTTCTTCTGCAAGTCTCCATTTCCTCAGTTCTAAATTGCTATTCTTGAGCTTGTCTCAGCAGCTGGGCTACTCACGGTGCTACTGACACAAAC